TCATCACAGAACTGACCTCACCTGAGAGGACAAGATTTCAACTCACCTGACTCTCTGTTATGTCAGATTCTTAGAGATCCACAGATACAAAGCCTGACATCTTTTAAGGCTCACTTTTTGCAAAGTTTATGTAACTCTGTATATTCTCTCCTTGTTAAAAAAAAGAAAAAAAAAAAAAAGAGAATGTTTAAGGCTTCTTCCTTTAACCAGTAGCAGTAAAATAACTTCAATGATCAAAGCTACTATAACAAATCACCATGTGTAGAAAGGAGTAAAATCTTGTATTTGTATTGATCTTGTGCATAGATCTGGTTTTATTGAAAGTGTTTTCAGTCTGTCAGAGGCTGCTCAGTAGAAAAGCACAAATCTTGAATACTGCTGAAATCCCTCTGCAGTGTTCCAGCGTGCCTAAGCCCCATGGAATGCCACGTTTTCAATTACAGTTTTCCCTGTGGCATTACACAAAACACAGAAAATGAGATGATCAACTTGAGAAAGAAGGTAGATTGGGAACTCTTTAGTGTTTGAAGGGGGAAATCCAGGAGAAGCGGAGTTCAGTGTTTTTTCTGCAGTAGAAGGCAACAGTAGCGTTGCTACAGGCTACATGAATCACAGCAACCACAGAACAGCTCCTGTGAATAAAATGGTAAAGATGCCAACTTAGAGGCTAAAGCAAACCTGTCACAAGCAGGTCATAAATTAGTTGCACACATCATTATCTTCCCAGAAGCTTTTACCGACTACACTACCAGAAACAAGGCCCAGAACATGAGTTTTCCATGTCAAGAAAGTGCTGTAAAGATTTGATCAAGGTGACTTCAGCTGATACAGGGTCGTACTGGAAAACAAAAACCGTGTTCAGGCCTAGTGATGCTTGAACCCCATTATCAATTTTTCTTCAGAAGAATCTGACCCACTAAATATTTTGCCTGACATCTATTCTGCCTGTGAGTTCTAAAGCTGCTGAAAATCAGACTTTGATCTCATTCCTAAGAGGCCAGTGAGACCAAAGCAATTCTTCTCAATCATTCCTGGCTCACCTGACCACGTAGTGGGCTGATGAGGCATTTAATAGATCACCTGTTATATTCTGATAAACACGTGGGTACCTTGACTTTCATTGCTTTTCTGAACTTGGTGTGGAACTGGCTGGCCAAGAAGAGACAATGCCTGAAGACACTGCCAAGTACCTCTCAGCCTCTGCTGCCACCAGGAGGTGACACTCACATGTTCCACAGTGAACACAAAAATCCGTGGTCATGTCTCTTCCAAAGGAACTCTTCTGCCAGAAGCAGGGACAGTAGAATGCCTCTGAGTTCCCTCTCTGCCTGCTCCTTGTCTTGGGTCATCCTTGCCCCTCTCTCCATGGTCCTACTTGAGCAATCCTCAGGTGGAAAACAGGGAATTCTGTGCTTAGCTCAGGAATTTGTGTGTGGGTAGTACGTAGCTTATTACAGATGTTCTAATGACAGAGAGAGTAAGAGAGAGATTTCTAGGAAAGAGAGATTTCTAGGAGACCTCAAGGAGAGATTTCTGGAAGGAAATTTTCCAGTCACGTATTACACAACAAAATGTACTGACTTTCTTCAAGAAAAATGCTTGGTCACTGACATTACAATAAATATACTTATCTTTAGTTCCTCAATATATTTAATTTTTCAGTGTGTTCTCCCAACTTTGCAAAACCAACTGCATGAATTGTTGTGGGTTTTTTTCTTAAATACAGGTCTGAAAGTCTGGTTAAATTGACATTTCTAACATTTGCATAACTATGATGCTGTGGCATTCCCTCATGTACTTCTTTCATTATCAAGTTAAAGGCAGTTGGTTTCCAAAGTGATTTTGTGGTTCTTGGACCCAGAAGTTACCAGTAGTTTGGGCAGTTTGACACCAGCTGCTGCTGCTGCTGCCTGCTCACTGCAGACACTGATGTGATGATGTGATGGGAATCATGGAATCGTGGAATGGTTTGGGTTGGAAGGGACCTTAAAGATCACTTAGTTCCAACCCTCTGCCATGGGCAGAGATGCCACCCACTAGATCAGGCTGCCCAGGAACAAAGGAGGCTACTAACTTCCCTATTCTCTCCGGAGCATTTCAATTCAAAGCTCTTTTAATTTAATATAGAGGCATTCCTTACTTTTCACACGTAGGACTCACTTGTGATTCCCCTTAACATCTATATTCAGCTGTGAGTAAAGTCAATTTTTGTCTATGCCTGAAAATATTGCACAAATCCGTATTCAGAATTGTTAGAGATAATGGATACTCAGTGGGGCTTTTCCAGAGGTGTTACCAGTGCAAATGGCCTAATCTGGGCAAAGTGGTGTTTGACAGTGGCTGCTGCTTCCAGGACTGCTTGGAATCACAGCTGTAATAAGTGCCCAGTCACCACATCCCTAATGAGAAGCCAGAGATCACCCTCCCGAGCAACTCCACCTCGACAAAGCAGGGAGGGAAGGGTCTGTCCAAAAGGCTTGGAAGCATTTAGCCAGAAAAGCTCTGGTGGCCTGGGATCAGAGCTGGAAAATCTGCATTTCCATTGACATGCATTTCCCTTCCAATACTGTGCAGAGGTACAGGTCACGTAAAGTGGGGACCATGACGGATATTAACTGTAATTAACTGTAAAAAATTTGGGGGAATCTGGGTTAGAAGGGACTAGACAGAGTGGTAGAATATAAAGGCTGGAGTTTCTTGCATAGGAATCCAGATTTCCTATAAAGTTAATTGCTGGCAAAGCAGAGCCTTGAAAGGTTTATGAACAGCAAAAAAACACATCTCAAAGGAGGAGGCAATTTATACTATGTTTATTTTGATTTGTAACATTCCCTGGGTTTTGGGGTTTTTTGCTATGCTTTACAGTTCTTAAGGAAAAGAACTAATCATATGACTTAGAGGGCATAAGTCTTTTTTACACCAGAGATTTGAGTACACTGTGGGTCACCAGCCATTTCATGCTCTGGGAACCTCTTAGAGTGACAGCCAAATGATATCAAGACCTGGTTTTTTGCATGCACAGTGATGGCAATCACAAGTAGGAGATCACGAATAGTCAGGAGGGTTTAAGTCTGGTTAGTCCTAACTTGAGGCAGAGAAAATGGACTGGACAAGCTTGGTGGAACACCTTTCCCTTCCTGCAGGGCTTGAGCTCTTAATTGCCCCCAGGGCAGCCAGAACAGAAAGATAGTTTGTTAGCAGTGGTGGATCCTGGTGGCTTGGACACCTGAGACTGCTGATCCACTGGCCAGAAAGGAGGGCAGCTGTGGATGTACACTGAGGGGCTAAAACACCCCCATCTTTTGTAACTCTAACTTAAATTAGAGATAAAAAGTTACTTTAATTAGCCTGCAAATAAACACATTCATATAGCAGTTATGACTTCCAAACCCATGACCTGAGGTGAACCTCATGTTCTGTTAATAGCTCTGCAAATCATTGAGAAGACACTGAGTACCTCCTCTTCTTCGTGGAAAGACAACTCAGGCCATTTCAGCTGGCTGAAGCCTGCTCTTGTGGGTCTCACACCTCCATTCCCTGCAAATCTGGGAGTGGAGAAGGTGGTTTATGCAAGAGATGGGTGTCCCATGAACCCCCTCCTTGCAGCCAGCGTGGAGAAGATGAGATACCACCCTCAGCCACTGACACGCGACACAGGGCACTGTCAATATCCACACAGGGAGGCAACCAGTCCACAAAGCAGACACTGCTTCACCCAAGTACAATTAAAAACAACTAAACAGGGAATAATTTTTAAAAAAAACCTTTTTATTTAGATCAACACAAGAAGAGCTAGATAGGATTTATGAGCTAAGTTTTTTGGTTGGAGAGCCAATGTGTACTTTAAAGCATCATCAGAGACCAAGATACAGTCTTGAACACCGTGTTGTAATAATTTGTAAAACTGCATGAGACAGATTTTTTTAAACCAATTACTTCCCGTCCATTCAGAGACAGATAAGCCCCCAGCTAAAATTCCTTTTCATTCCAGTGCTTGTAAAGATGAAGATGAAATATGATTTTCCTTCTAACAAGTGCTCCAAAAAGCAAAACCAGAAAAAGCACATGTTTCTCTGTTATGGAAAATAGGTCTCGGCATGCTGCAAATTCTGCGTTTTACTTACTTTCTACCACAAATGCCCCCTCATTAAAGAAATGAATACTGTAATCATTTTCTCAGATTTATGTTTTCTTTTCTGCCTCATTTGGCACTAATGCTGTGTTATTACAAGAACAACTGTTCGCTGCAAAAAGAATGATCTTCAGACTTCTCATCCAAGACCTTTGAAGTCACTGGGAATGAACTGCAAAGAAAGGCAGGGAGGACGTGGACACGAGCAGCAGTTGAATCCTTTCCCACTGACCAGGCAGATTTTCTTCTTGTTGCCTGATGACACAGAGCTGCAGTTTCCTACCCCTTCTCAGACAAAAACTCTCCTCCAGGTAGAGACTTGCAGTTTTCAGAAACGGTAATAAAACGTGGGTCAAACAGGGTGCAAACAAGTCCCACGAGCAAATTCAGAGCCTGGGAACATCTTCACTGATGAGCGTCCCTGGGATTTGAAACGGCCACGTGCACCATCATCAGGATCAGGATCACAGCAGTGGTAACGAGTGCCACAGCTCCCGAGCCCTCGAGGGTTGAGACATGTGCTGGCAAGCCAAACGGCTTTAACAATGAACTTGGAGAAGAATCTGGAGGGAATTAGTGTCAGGCATGTGTAAAGAGGGTTACTTTTCCCATCTCCAACACCTATAATTACATCTCAAACGTGCTAATAAAATCCAGTGGTTACAGTGGGTTTTTTTTTTTTCCTCTGTGTCAAAGTTAAGCATGCTGCCGTGATGCCTAAGAAAAAAAAAAAAATCAACTTTCTTACACTTCCAATCGCCATGCAATCACCAGAAGAGATGACGGCTGGGTCAGAAGGGCCGAGGTGCGCTCCTGGCTCCCGGGGACTCGGCTCGGGAGCGGCCCGCCGCCCCCCGCCCTGCTCCGCTCAGAGATGCGGGGCGTAGAAGGGGCCGAGGTACGCGGGGCCGAGAAAAGGGGCGAAGGGGCCGGCTCCCAGCGGGAAGGGGGCGGCCGGCGGCACCAGGACGTTGGCGGCGGCGTAGGAAGGGAAAGTCTGGAAGGGCAGAGCGGCGGGGCCCGGCGGGCTGGGGCTGCCGCCGCCCGCCGCCGCCGCCGCGGGGGATGCTGCGGGGGCCGCGCCGTCGGCGCCCGGGTGCTGCTTCTTCCACTTGGTGCGGCGGTTCTGGAACCAGATCTTCACCTGCGTCTCGGTGAGGCTGAGGGACAGCGCCAGGCTGAGGCGCTCGCAGACCGACAGGTACCGCGTGGCTCGGAACTTGTTCTCCAGGGCCACCAGCTGCTCGTAGGTGAAGGCGGTGCGCGCCCGCCGCGGTTTCCCGCAGCCCGGCTCCGCCCGCCGCCGACGGGCGCCCCGCGGCGACCCCGGCTCCTCCGGCCCGGGAGAGGGCCCGCTCCCGGTCCCGTCCCCGCTCCCGGTCCCGTCCCCGCTCGGGTCCTCCTCGTCGCGGTCCTGCCCCGCGTCCTCGGCGCCGCTCTCCGCCGGGCCGTGCGGATCTAGGCGAGATGGCAGCGCTCGTCAGATGGAGCGCACCCTCCTCCCGTCACCCCTCCCCGCTCCGAACCCCGGGCTTCTTCTCCGACATCCCCCCACCCCCCCCCACCCCTCGCCCTCCCCAGTGTGGAAATATAAGGGCAATCATTAAAAATAAAATAAAAGGGAGAAAAACCCCGCCCGCCGTGCGAGAGGAGCCCCCCGCGCCCACCCCCACCGCTGTGCCACCGCATCCGCGGCGGGGAGGGGAGAGGCGTCGATATGGATTTCTTACCAATTAAAAAAGAAGTTATTAAAGTCCCCTTCTGAAGCGAAATAAATCCCCTCCCCCCTCCCCATCCCCGCGCTAATGGAGTTTCAGATTTGCGAGGGCCAGATCGATAGATGTCATCTATTAAAGGTAAGTTTTAATCGAACAATATTAGGATCAGGCCGGGGGAAGGAGGTTTGAAGTGGGCACCTGCAAGCTGCGGGCAGGAGATAGGCGGGAGTCGGTAATAGGATATCGATCACCAGGAGCTAAGGCATCCTCCGGTGGGGACGGGCTGAGCAATTACCCAGCCGGCCGTCCCGCGGGCCGGGGCAGCCGACCGCTCCCGCCCCGGGGAAGGGGTGCGCCCGGGGGCCGCCCTTCCTCTTGGACAAAAAAAACCCCAACAAAACCCAAAACAAAACAAAAACGTGCGGTGCCCCAGTAAGAGCCGCGGTCCGTCCGGAGCCGGCACGGGGCGGCGGCGCGCCCTGGGATGCGCCATCCTTGTCGGGCGGTAGAGGATGCCCCGCACGCCAGGAGCCGTGGAGGACACACGGATACCGAGAACTTTTCCCTTTGCATCATCGAGACTTAAAATTCAGTTCCAGCCCCCCCTTCCCTCGCTGCTGCGGGAGCCCCGCCGGGCGCGGGGGCCGGGGGTCCCCTCTACCGGCGCCTCCACCTGCGCGCCCCGCCAGCGCCGGACGGAGAAACTCGAGCGCGTTCCTACCATGTGCCTCTAGTTTATTCCTCCCGCTGCCGGGAGCAGCAGCGTCCTTTCCTACTTCAACTCTTCCCAAACTTTTCTCCCGCTCGCCCGAGCGGGGGGCGCTGCCCCAGCTCCCCGCGGCCGGTTCGCGTCTCCTGCTGAATTTCTGGGGATCCAGGATGTCTAAGATGGAGAAGGAGATTTTATGATGGATGGGGGCCGCCTTGGCCCCGCGGTCCGGGCATTCCGGCATCCCACCCCACCCTCCGCGCCTCCCGGAGACCTGCTGGCTCCCAGCGCTGCCGGGCGCGGAGCGGGGCCGCTCCCGAGCCGCAGCCTCGGCGCTGGCGGCGCGGAGTGAGCGGCGGGAGGAGGGTCGGGCGGGGAGGCGGAGGGGCCGGCGGCGGGGTGGGGGCAGAGGAGGGGGCAGCGCAGCCATTGGCACGCCGCCCCCGCGCCCCCTCCCCGCCGCGCTGGCTCCGCGGGGGCGCAGCGGGCGCCTCCCTCCATCCCAACCTCCCGGCGATGGGGCTTTCCCCTCGCCTGCCCCGGGATGGGAGGGGGGAACGCGCAGCGAGGTGGGCCGGGGGCGGCCAGGAGCCCTCCGGGTCCTCTGCCAGCGCAGGGATGCGGCTGCACTCGCAGCCCGCCGGCAGCTGCCGACCCCCGGGTCCGGAGAGCCCCTCGGCTGCTCCTGTCCCCCCACCGTCCGCTGACGCACCTGCAGGTCCCCACTCAGTGCTGGCCCAGTGGGGTGACCCTCGTGTTCAGAGGGACCTGGAGAGGAGAGATGGCTCCTGCATCCCTCTGCTGTGCCAGGTGAGCTCCAGGCTCTAAGTGCTCCCTCTGCCAGCGGCCACTCTGAGATGTGGAACTACTGTGTGCTCCACAGGGAGAAATGAGCAGCTTTTCGTTTCAGGGCAGCTTAGGATCAGTCTGGTTCAGACTTTGGGCCAAACTCCTGCAATTCACCCGTGGTGCTCAGAACTATTCTCAGTGAGTAGGGAGGGAAACTGAGGCTTGCCTGTGTTGGAGGAGTTGCTGCCCTACTGAGCAGCCCCCCAGACTAACCCTCCTTGCTGTTGGGGGAAGCACTTTGTTGTCTGTTCATACTTATAACACAGGGTAGGTGACAGCAGGCCAAGCCTCTCTGCACCACCTTGCACCAGCCCCATGATCACTTCTAGCCAGCCCTGCTTATTAAAAATATGCTAGTAGCGTTTTCCTGTACAACTCTATCTGTTCAGGGAGACCCTTTTCTCTCTCCTTAGCATTTCAGCATTTGTTGGTACCACAAATCACCAGATAGATGAAGGAAAAGGCACCCTTCAGCCAGGGAAGACAACCCTCAGTAGGAATCTGCTACTCCACCTGATTTTATACCTAGGGAAAGATGCAGAGCACAGCCTTCTTCCTCTTCACAGGTACCTGACCAGAACTGGGCTTACACATTAATCTCAGTGCTATTGCAAAGGCCTTAAGATAGGCCTTAAGATAACAGGAGAGCAAGAAGATGAGATGCTGATGTGCAGGGTGATGTGATTACAAGTAGCTGTCATTTTTAATTATGTGGTGGCAGGATCCAACAGCCCATTTGGCCTCTGGGATGGGATACCACAGGTATGTAGAAGCAAAGGGAGCTCTAGCCTGAGGAGCTCACACTCAGAAGCTACAGGTGGGTAAAGCTTGGTTTTGGGAATGCTTTGGGTGAAGAACTGGAAAAAAAAATTCATCTGATATATTTGAGACCACTTCTGTTAGAGTTGTTGGGTCTGCAGGACCTCAGAAGGTAAATTGTAGCACTGAGATTATTTTGTGAGCTAGCAGACATCTTCAAATATCATCCATTTAACACCTGTATGCACAGCAACCTGCAAACACACACACACACACGTGTGGAAAGGCACAAGTGAAAAAGCACACACTCAGGGATTAGTTTTAGCACTCTGAAGTTGGTCCGTTTCCCAGCTCAAGCATTAAAATTCAGCTCGAGTGCTGTCTTCGAATTGCTTTGATGCTAGGTGGGTTTCAACCCTGACCTGTCCTGACGGCAAGTGATGGCTGTAACAAGCTGTGGATCAATATTCATAGCGGGTGTCCTGGACTGATAACACTATCCAAGACAACGTTCACTATCGGTGCAGACAGCTGAGATATTGCGCCATTAGTAATGTTGTTTTAAATAACCTGATCCGTTTCTGGGTCTGTTTAATGAATTTCACAGTTTAGATATAATCTTTAAGGAGAAGCCAGAGGCTATTCCAGAAGCGGTGATGCAAATCAATGCTGCCAAGGCTCCTCTGCTTTCCTTAAAACAAAACAGACTATAATTCCACCGCAGCTCCTTATATATTCTGGGGAGTCGTGGCGTGCTATTGATGGTATTAGCAATGAGAAGGTATCTGAGAGAAAGCAGTGTTATCTGTAAAGTTGGAACGCATCTGATAAAATCCTTATCCGTGATGTAAAATTCTTTACATGATAAGTCAGTGTTTTGTTTTGTGTTTGTTTTTTTTTTTTTTTTTTCTTGGTTGTCTATGAATCACAGAATGGCTCGGGTTGGAAGGAACCTTAAATATCATCTCGTTTCACCCCCATGCCAGGGATGCTAGACCAGGTTTCTCCAAGCCGCATCCAGCCTGGTCCTTAGCGCTCGCAGGGCCGAGGCAGCCGCAGTGTCTCAGCTGGCAGCTCAGGGTGAGGTGCCGCGGGGCGGAGCGGAGCCCGGGACTGCATTTCCCGGCAGCGCCCGGCGCGGGGCCGTGCGGGCGGCGATGGCGGGCTGGGCTCGGGCCGTGCGGGGGCTGCTGCTGGATGTCAGCGGGGTCCTCTACGACAGCGGGGCCGACGGCGGGGTCCCCATCGCCGGCTCGGCCGAGGCCGTGCGCAGGTGGGTGCGCGGCCCGGGACCCCCCTCCGGCCGGGGTCGGGGCCGGGGGTCCGCCCGCGGTGGGGTGGGGGCACCCCCTTGCCTGGGTTTGGCAGCCCGGGGTGGGCGGTGGTCACCTTCGAAAGGGCATTTAACTCCACCGCGGGAAGTGTAACCTCCGAGTGCAGCCCCCGATCCTGTCCCGGACAGGACAGCAAACGGGACATTTTTGGGTCGCCTTGGTGTTTTTTAGGGTTATTGAAGGTAAGTGAGCCCGCAGACCCTGGGCTGTTGGGGAAAGGAGCGTGGAGCAGCGCGGCGGATCGCATCGTGCTCGGGTTTGTGTTTACTGTCGTCAGCGCACACGCAGCAGGGGCGGGTGATACACGAGAGGTCTGACACTGTCCCCGGTAGTCGTTTTTAAAATACTGCACGCACTGGCATGGTGCTTCGGCAAATTGATTAACTTTGCTCTCAAATTAGCTGAGACTTCTCGCAGAAAACTTGCAACCCAGCAGACATGGAGAATTTCCGTGCTGGGGTTAATGATTGCCCAACTTGGATGTGACTCCAAAGCAAAGTGTGGTTGGGATGAGTTAATCCCTGTGCCCACAGGTAGGGACTTCTTTCCCTTTTAGCTGGGTGATGCAATCCGTGTCACACAAGCCAAGTAAATTTGATTTAAGTAACTTGAGTTAATTAGGTTGACTTGCCAAGTGTGTCTATACCGGCCCTGCTGGACCAGAGGAGCAGGATGGGGCCAGTGACTACAACTTTCTTTAAAGACAGGTATTGATTGGTGTATCTGCCCTGCTGGATGAGGTTTTGGGTTTGTGTAAGAGGCTTTTGGCTCTACCTTGATGTTTCACTAACCCACTGTAGAAAATCCAGGTCTGTTTCAAGTGGCAGGTGCTGGTAATGGCTTGGAGCAACCTGGTCTAGTGGAAGGTGTCCCTGCCCATGGCAGGAGGGGGAACTAGATGGACTTTAAGGTCCCTTCCAACCCACACCATTCTGTGATTGTGTGCTGCTGTGTGTACCCCATTTGAAATGTTTTAAAAGTCTAAATTCTGAACCCTGAAAGGTTGGCAGCTTGGTGAGCACCTGTGCAGTTTCTGTCATCTGGAGCCACTCAGCACACACACAGTTGTGGTGAGTGCTTTATTGAGCAGGAAAATATGCAAGAAGAAATACTGAAAGCAGTAAAATTAATCATATGAGGTTAGTTAAATATGTGCCTAAATGTTTGTGGAACCAACTGGAGAAGGTCCAAATGTACTAGCAATAACAGAAGTCTTTGCTGCTTTTTTTAATAATTATGTCTTTGTTCATACTTCTTGAAACACATGTAGCAGGCACAGAAAGTGTCATCAGATGAAGCTGATGCAGCATCTCCAGGATCAGAGTTACCAGTGCTGTCAGAGAGCAGTGTTTGAAGCAAGTTTAAGGCTTATGGAGGCTCGTGGCCTGTTTGTGATGCTCAGCTGGCTGGTGGAAGCTGCAGGTGCCAGGACAGCCAGTGGGAGAGCAGCACTTCAAGGGAATTCAGTGATATTAGGCAAAGGGAAAATTTGCTCCTATAAAGACATTGTATGGGAGTGCTGTGGCACATGGGTCTTTCAAGGAGTTGCATGTGTGCAGTGCTTAGCATGGAACAGCCCAGAACGTAGCCAAAGGCCTCCAGGCATGGCCAAATCAAGCATAAATAGCAACAACTGCATAATTACTGCCAGAGATCAGGTCATTCCTTTAAAATTCAGGACATAGTCAGTAATACCTGTGTTGTGGTTCACTGGATGCTTTTGACATACTGTTTTTTCCTTCTAGGTTTTTAAGCATCATTTTCTGTCGGGTTATAGGCTGTCATTTAATAACCTTTGTCAACTGCCTTTGCTGAACCCTCTTGCATGGAGGCAATGTAAACTGCAGTTTAACTTACAGCAATATCAGAAATATGCTGATGAAACAACAGTAAAACTCTGGCCTTGGGCTAAAGAAATTATAGGATTTTTCTGGTAAGACTGGAAATGTCTAAGCCCTTGTTCCTCATTATTTGCAAAAACCCCTCAGCAGCTGATCTGACCTGTCTGCCTGTCTGGAAGGGTTTGAGGGGGTCTTTGAGGCAGGTTGGGAGATGCAATCCAGCAGCAGGCTCTGGAGAGCTGCACTGGGAAGGTTGATGTCATTTGGTCAGGATTTGGTAAGCAATGGAGAAGCAGCAGTCATAGCTGTGGGAACTGGGGACAGCAGAGTGGAATTGGGGACAGCAGAATGGAAAAGAGACAGGAAGGAAAAAAAACCAAACCCAAACCACTGTTCAGGTCATTCAATGTAACTGGTTAAGAATAATAATTTTCCTTGGGTAAAGTCAAGTAGCCTTATTTATCTGCCTATTAGGTTGGTAATTGTTCTAGCCCACACCATTTAAAATCTTTATTGACTCATTATCCTATTGCCAGTTGGTCATTAATATTTGTGTCTGCGTCACAGTACAGCTCAGTGGTTTCAAGCAGATGGATTAAAGCTAAAAGGAGCTCTTTTTTAATTAATTCCTTTTTTTTCTGTATCAATTAAAAAGTCATAATTGCAGATAGCTAGGAACCTGATAACTTATTCAAATTGATACGGTCTTTTGCTAGAAGAGCTGTCTAAAATCTTTCAGTGCATATATATGTCCAATAGGAGCCTTAAATACCATTTTGATAACTCATAGTACAGATAGGGACTCTGACAAAATGACAGCTGACCTCTTCTTTTCAGGCTGTCTTGCTACATCATCTCCCACACTATTACAGCAATTAACTTAGTGTAACAACATATAGTACACTCCAATAAAAACGATAAGCAAACATATTAATTTGTCATTGGTTTCATGTGACTGAAGCCATTTTGACCTCTTAAAACTGTGTTACCTGCATTATTTCTTTTGTTTTCAGCCAAATTCTGCTCTGCAATTATTTGAGTTAGTGTTTGAGGGAGTAGCAGTGGAATTTCTACCAGCAGAATTTGGCCTGGTTCATATTTATGGTGGCTGCAGGGGGGGTGCTTCTCTCTTGTTTATTTGTTTTTAGCTGACAGTACAGTCAGATGGAGCAGAAAAATGACCAGAGAAGCTGATAGACACTGAAACATCCTGAGCAAGATGACATTCAGTAACACACTTCCCAGAGCTGTAGAGACCCTCCTGAGGAAGACATCAATAGTCACTATCCAAGTTGGTATAACCTGTGGTCAAACACTAAGTGTAACCACTGGGAATGCTTTATTTATTGCTAATATACCCACGTCTCTGATAAATTTATCCTAGGATTCAGTGTGCACTGAGAGGGAGTTGGTGAATCAGGGGCTGAAAGGATGAACCACAGGAGTATTTGTTGTACAGAGCAGACCTTCTGCTGCACTCAAGTGGTAAGGTGAATGTAGATCCTTCCTATTACTCAGCTATCCTATGGCAGCCAGAACTTACCTGTGTGCCAAAGGGTGTTGGCACCACTGGTTTAACCCAGGAGCCACTGTGCCAGGAATGTCTTTAAAATCTCCAGAGACTCTTGCTGTTAAATTTAGATGGGGATATTAGAGCAGTGGATGAATAAAAAATCCAAAAGCAGCTTGATGAGATTATTTGTCCCTTTAAAACTTTTAACCCGTAACATTTCTTGATTGTTTAATTTACTGTGGGATACGTTTGTTGTTGTTTTTAAAAATCCTTGTAACAAAGTCAGACACATCTCTTTTCAGTGTGTGTGGTTAACTGGCAGATGCCGTGGAGCAGATCAGAAAGCCCATGGACGAGATCAGAAAGGTGACTTAAAGGCTTGTCCTGGAGCCAGCCCTAACAGTGCCTCTGTGTTTGTGCTCTTATTGTCTTAATCGATTTACACAGCATTGACACGAGGTGAGCTAGTCCCTTTTTATCTTACAAATAGCAGGGAGCTGGTCTCTTACAAGACAGAAGGTGGTTAAACATCCATAAAAGATGCTCAGCCTGTGCTCTGGCATTTGCATTTACAGCTGTGTGCTGATAGTGTGTCCATTAGCATATCCATATGAAAAGCACACAGTAGTTGGACATTTACAACATCCTGTTGTTGGGCCGGGGACGGTGCATCTGTCAGCACAACTTTCCACTGAGTCCTTTAGAAGAGCAGCGGAAATCTGGGGAGCGGGGAGGCTGTGGAGCAGCTGGACAGTCCTGTTAAAATAAAATACCTGGAGAGTCT